AAAAAACACAAATATATTATTGCAATTACACACCTCAGAGTCAAGTATAAGCCAATCTGTCCGCTCATGAACAATCTAATTATTAAAATGATTTGGAGTAGATACAACATTGATGTTCATATATGTCTTGGCCACAGGCTGAGTACTGATTGCACTGCATGCTGTGACATGATCCTTCAAAAAGCCACAGAGAAGGGTTTAATAATGCAAATGATGCAAATAGTTACACCACAAACTTTCAGAGCTAAGAACATTTCAAATTTGTTTTTTGTAGAAGTTTTTGAAGTAAACTAAACATCTAGTATAGAGAGGCTTAGTGTACATTCAACCTATGAGATGTGAGCTCGAAAAAGAAAGTGATTAAAGGAATAGTTCACTTAAAAATCAAATTTCATTCAGTCATTTTACCTTGTCTCCTTTAATGCCATAAGCCAATCTGTCCGCTCATGAACAATCTAATTATTAAAATAATTTGGAGTAGATACAACATTGATGTTCATATATGTCTTGGCCACAGGCTGAGTACTGATTGCACTGCATGCTGTGACATGATCCTTCAGAAAGCCACAGAGAAGGGTTTAATAATGCAAATGATGCAAATAGTTTCACCACAAACTTTCAGAGCTAAGAACATTTCAAATTTTTTTTTTGAAGTTTTTGAAGTAAACTAAACATCTAGTATAGAGAGGCTTAGTGTACATTCAACCTATGAGATGTGAGCTCGAAAAAGAAAGTGATTAAAGGAATAGCTCACTTAAAAATCAAATTTCATTCAGTCATTTTACCTTGTCTCCTTTAATGCCAAGACCTACTGGTCCTCTGGGTCCTTTCAGCCCCTCCAGACCCCTCTCTCCCTGTAAAAGACAAAAGTGTGAACCATCAAATTTATACAATGCATTGCCATCACATTTTCAAAAAAAAATGTATTCACCCTAAAATGTAAAAAAATAAAATAAAAAAAATAAATAAAAATAAAAAAATATATATATATATATTTGGAGAAGAGAAAATGAATCCTATTTTAGAACCATTAAGACATTTGGCATATTCATAAACAGAAAGTGTATTTTTACAGCCTCTGATGAAAAATTTTGCCATGATGCAAAACTGTAAAAAAAAGTTGTAAATGAAAAAGAAACAAATGAAACAAAGATTATTGGAGTACGTTTTACAAGAAAATACTTTCTACTTCAAAATGCCGTGTTTTATACACTGTGTTACTTTCTGTTTCTTTGTAATTATTTGAGTTAAAACTGCTTCAAAGAAAAGCCTTCAACATCTTTTTATTTATTTAATTATTTTCTACATAGTACGTTATCTAGATATCTGCCAGGGTGTTTTGGTTGTTAAAATGGTTGCCTAAGCAAAAACACGATTTAAAATCTCATTCTGCCCTGTGTCAACAAGCCTCTGAAGCTCAACTGATAAAGCACAGCGCTAGCGATGCCAAAGTCATGGGTTTGATTCCCAGGCAACACATTTACTGAAAGCACTTTAAGTTGCTTTAGATAAAAGCATCTGCCAAATGCATAAATATATCTGACACACCCTGCATTTTTCAGATACGGAGTCAAACAACAGCAAGATTGATTATGTTCCATTATTTAATAAAAAAAAATGATGAAAGAATGCTGGATCACTCAGAAAATGAATTGAGGTCAGAGGTCACAAAGTTCAAAGGTTCTCTGATATAAACTACATACACAAGACACCTTGCATAAAAACATATTAAACCTCTTCATAACTATGATTTGACTCACACACGCTGCATTCTGAAACTGTGTCCAATGACATGTTTACCTTTGGTCCGGGTAAACTGAAATTGGTTTATGTACTAATAAATCAATACACAAGGAATTAGAAGTTGACTGATTTGGGATTTTGCTGATATGATAATCAGAGAAAGGCAATAAAAAGATTATTGAGCCATTACTAGTAAAATCTAGATACTGAATGTGTTAAATAATATTCTTTGGCCCGTTCACACAGAATGCATTTTTCAATTCCATTGTGCTACTTTTCCATTGTTTTTCTATGCGAACACATGCTAGACAGATGTATTTGACTGTTGCACTCATGTTTCACGACTTTTGCAGCGTCTTGTGCATTACATGCCATTCTAAATATGCAGTGCTCAAGTTAAAAAAGAGATTCAACTTTTTTTTTTAAAACACGTTGTGAGACTTTTCTCATTATGTTTTTGGAGGGTGAAGAGTGGATCACATTTACATCTAAATGGTGATTCATCTACATGGAACTGATCCCAAAATTCAAACTGCAGCAATAAACTGCTTACATCATCTGGATTCAGTCAGATTCACTGAATATAAAGTCAGTGTGCTTGTCATCAAGCCTGTGTTAATATGTGCACCAAAATAAACACGTGCTGCTTTAAACAAAAGACTTAACCTTAAGGGAATGCTTTGAATACCAGCAGCATCTGTTAAATGGAAAAATCACAATAACCATAATGCTTTAAAAATCATTTCATGACGATTATGTCGGGCCATTAGGTACACGTCTTTATGCATTCTTTCATTGGGCAGATGAAACTGGGGGTCTTTAAAGAAACATGGCTCATGTCAGACATACTAAAGTAAAGACTGCAATTACTGTGTTCAGACACATTAGGCAGAACACCTTCACCTGTCAAAGACAGAAATACTGATTTGTGGAGCGACACATGCATGCAAGTCCAGACATTAATCTGTTGCTCAGATGGCAGCCATCGGTATGTGAAAAAAAGAACATTCCAGAAAAATAATTAAGTTCTGAGTTGTCCTTAGTAGCACACAGATGCATATCAGCACTGACACAGACCTAGATGAGCTTTTTGAGTGCCAACATTTATCTAAATAAAAAATAACCAATACAAGCCTGATCAATTCTTTCCCAGAGTGCTTTTAAAGTCATTTTTTAGCATGGCAGCACCCTGCAAGCCCATACAGGGGTTTTAAGTCTGCAGGAATATTTCTATGATACATGAACATAAAAGAACATTTATGGTTTTAGGTTGTCCCAAACATTTCCTACACACGTAAAAATAAAGATTCTTTATTGGCATTAATGATTACATGAAGAACCTTTAACATCCACTGGACATTTTCATTTCACAAAAGGTACTTTAAATTGGAAAAGTTGGTTCTTCATGATTATTAAAGATTATTAAAATGTTCCTCCCACTAAGAAAAGGAGGTTCTATTAAGAACTGTTCACTGAAAGGGTTGTTGGAACCAAAATGATTATTCCGTGGCTTCACTCTGAAAACCCTCTTTTGGAACCTTTATTTTGAAGAGTGTAATTTTCCACCTGCTATCTAAAAAAAGAAAAAAGGACATTGCTGAATTGAACCCACTTTTTTGCCCGTTGGGCCTTCGGGTCCAATGTCTCCATTAGGTCCAGGCAAACCCTGCAGAGAAACACAACAGAGTGAATACAGTAAACTATTATTGAAAAAGAGAAAAAAGCTTGTTTTGCATTTTCACAAATGAAGTTTAAAAACAAACCTGGAGCCCTCTGCTTCCTCTGATACCAGTGGGACCCTCCGGAC